AGATATTTTTTTAAAACAGCTTGAACAGACTGAGAGACTGTACCATCATTTTACTGACAAGGAAACAGAGAAGCAAAACAACCCTGAAAAATACACAAGTGGTAGGAGGAAGAGCTGTGACATGAATGCAAGCAGCCTACATGGAACCCATACACTTAACCACTCTCTGTGGTGCAAGGTGGATAAGAAGTCATAGATAATTTTTTCAGGACAGCCTATGGGACATGAGATGAAGTATGGATGGGAGCAGAGTGACCGGTGAGCACAGACTGTGGAGACACAAGTGCACTGAAAGATAGGATCTGGGCAGTGTCCTGGCATCAAGAGAGGCCAGCCATGTTTCCAGCTGCAGAGTGCAGCCAGAGGGAAAAGCCTCAGCACCAGGTCAGCAATGAGGTGGGAATTCCTGAGCGTGGCATTCACACCAACGACCTGGTTCTTCCTTCTCTTCCCATCCCATGCTGCTTAAGTTCCCAGATTCATCCCTTCACTGATTGCTGGATAAAGTCTAGAACAACTCCCTGGCCCTCTGGATCTTTGCCAGAGTCTCATTCCCCACCCCCATGTCTGGAAAAGCTCACTAATAAACATTCTCTGAGCTTCTAAAGGAGAGACAGCTTATGCCTGAAGCTGGAAGGGTGGGACAAAATATTGAGAGAGAGAAAGACAGGGAAAGGCATCAAATCCAGAAGAGTTGTTTGCGTTCAGTGTTGTGATTAATCCTGGGAGGCTGCTATGATTTACCTGTGGATGGCTTCCCCTGGCCATAGCACAATTATGGAAACCTCAAAGGCATTGATAAAATCGCAAAACCAAACCTTGGGTCCCTGACATCTTGCTCAGCCCATTGCTTTCAGATCCCAAGGACCATATAATTCTTCTTCCTCCCACCCTCTATATCTCTCCATATGCCCACTTAAAAGCAAAGAACAACTCCCTTCTACCTGGCAGGGGAAGGAGTAAAGGCATAGAAGGCTTCCTGGAGGAGACGACAATTGAGGTGGACCTAGACAAACTGGATGAGCCAGATTTCCAAAATCAGAAATGCCAGGAAACAGGGGATATGGTATGTATAGAGGCCTGGGTAGTAGACCTGGATATGGAGAGATGAGCACAGTTATATAAGCTACAGTATGAGAAAGGCCTGAGTTATTTAGCTGGGCCTTTAGGTATTGGTTGAGTTTTGCCTTGTAAATCTAGAGCTCAAGTCGGGTTCCTTGTCAATCATTTCTGATCCTCCAATGAAGTTGTCTGTAGGCGGGGCCTTAGACTGGATGTCCAGGCATCCGTACCACGTGACCAGGTAGATACCGTTAAAGTCTGGATTGTCCTGTGGGGCTTCCGTGGACAGTTTCCCGAGGATATGTGGGAATATGGCAGCACCCGGCTTCCGGGATCACAAAATGTATGTTTACTTGGTTTTATTTCTTAATTACTGAATTTTGTGGTGATCCTGATCGAATCAGATTTATGATGTGTGGTGACATCTTTAAGGGATGTGTGTGATGGGCCAATGGATTGTTGACAGGGAAGCTCCCTAGTCACGTCCGGCCCAGTGTTGTGCTTGATGGAACAACGTGATGAGTCTTTCTGATCATTTTATTTGTTTAAATGTTGGTCATGGACACCCCTCCTCCCTTTCGATCCTAAGGTTTTGTGGCGTTTTGAAGTTAAAAAATGAGGAAAGGCTGATGTGATCGACGAGCCTCTGTCGGTTCAGCCCCGAACGGTGGCGGCTGGTCACCAGGCACCTGAGTTTGCCTTTATGTTTTACCATCGTTGGGTAGATATTATCACCACTTATTTCTTTAAAGTTTTTATTTTGCCCCTTTCTCCATTCGGTTTTCATGTTTCTGTTTCTTTAGCGGTGACAAGGAGGGAAGTTACCTCCTGAGGTGGGGTTATGACAGCCGACCCAAGTTACTTGTCTTTGTGGCCAGTTTAGTCTCTCATTTAACATGATTATATGTTTAATGTAATATGTTATTGTTCAAGTTGAGAACTGGTCTTCTTCCTATGTTATGTTCACAAGAAAAAAAAGCGTTTTGAATATTTCTACATTAAATGAGGCAATGGAATTATAGCTTGTTCACTAACCCCAGGGAATCACCTGGCCGTGGTCCTTGAACTGTGTTTTGTGTTTTTGTATAATGCACTTGTCTATTTAATATCACTGTATTCAGCCAAAAGCACCCCTTAAAATGTTTAGCGGTATTGAGACACTAAGGATATGGAAACTAGCAGTCGGGTTGTCAAGAGCTTATACCCTTAAGACCCTGAAGGAAATGAAGCACCCAGGGATCCTATTTATTGTTTTAGTTTCTGGTATACTGACTTGAGTTTTTTTCATGACATGGCAATCATTTCAATTTGCTTAAATTTGAATTGGCTTTGTTTCATAAATATTTCTCAAAGGAGGGTATTTTCAGTGTGCATATTGTGAAGTGATTCATCTGGCTTAGCAGGTGACGTTTAAATCACGTGACATGGCTGCCCATCAGCCGCTTTTTTTTCAGACAAATTGGGCCCGGTTTGGCATTTAATTTTACCTGTTCCTCCTCCCGTCGCATTCAATTAACTTTCGGTCTCAGGGCTCCTCATAAGGGTCTTTAAAAGGTTTTCTGTTGATAGAGAGCAAATCAATGTCTGATTGATTGATTACCTTTTGTTTTCTATCATAATTTCTTCAGTGATATAATTAAAAATATTGTAGTGTTGTTAACTCTCGATAAATGTACTTTATATTTCTGTTCTTGTACCCTTCAAGCGGATCCATAAATGTACTTTAAAGAAAATGTTGTGGGCCAGGGTGGATTGGTAAATGCAGAACGTCATTAATGGGTCGCGTGCTTGATATTTTACGACAGTGAATGCTCCTAACCATCATTCGCGCCTGTTTCATATGATTGGGTTTTACTTTGGAAAGGTGTGTTTTTTCGCATTGTATTAAATTAACTGCGGTCCTGACCCTCATCCTTCGCTTGGGTAAAGAGGTTTTCGTTCTTTTAAATGCACAACTAAGAAAAATAATGTTTTCATTCGGTTTGTGCGTCCTGCTTTACGACAGTTCCGGCCTCACCTGTTCGGCAACCTGAAGTTTGACTTGATTTCACCATCAAATTGTTTTAATATCACTGGATTGGTTGAGGTTTTAGTCTTTGTGTTATTTTATTTCATAAATGTAGCCAAAGGAAGCAAGTTTTGTGGCATTTTCGATTCCAACCACACATTGATTAAGCTGCCACTTGTTTTATGGCAGTGAATGCCCTGCAGTACTGGTCGCCTGTCACCTCTGCACATTGTTGGAAATTACATTTGCCACATGAATTGCCTGCTCAATATCATCTTATTGAATCTAATTCTGTCCTGAGGCTTTTGCATAAGTTTCCTTTAAGCATAATGGGGAATTTCCCAATTATGAATGAGGAAAGTCACAGATTGAGTGCTTTCAGTAATCTGGGAGTAAATGCCAATTGCAGGTCACATTGACAGTTTTGCTTTTGAAGCACAATGGTGTATTTAATATACTGTTTTTCTTTAAATGTAGCGTTGGTATCATTTCTAGGTGTTCTTCCATAGGAAAAAAAATGATTCATGTATTTTTTATATGCCCACAAACTAAAGAGAAATGAGTGCTCAAGGCCTAGCCTAGGGAGGACAAGCATTGAGTGGGATGGGCTACTCCTATTGACTGATTACCCCATGACCTGTGGTTCCCTTTGAACAGAGCAGTGGAGCCTCTGAAAGGCACTGTTACCTGGTGTTGTGGCTTAGTTCCTGCAGTCTCTGTGTTACGTTTCCTTTTATGAATTTGGCCTACCTGGCATGGGCTGAATAACTGTGTACTCAGTCCCCACTAGGTATATTCAGCAGCTCTTCTTCATAAGGGTAATAGGACACGTGCTCCAGCCCCCTACCTACGTTATGAGTTGCCATGTGTGTGCCCCCAGTGGTGCTAGTCTTACAGATCTGTACAATTGCCATCTCCTTCAGGACCTGTGGTGGAAAAGTCTGGGACTGGTCAGAATAGGAGCCTGTACCATGACTAGTGTGGATCTGGAAATAACTGTCCAGAGCATCCAGCCAGGTAAGAACAACATTCTTTAGTGTGGGGTGACAGGTGTTGGGCAGAGGGCATCACCCATCTAGTCTCACCAGTTTCATCATTTAGGAAGGTGTTGAAACCACTGTCCTGGGTCTCCAGGAAAGGAACTGCCATAGGTGCTAAGGTCTGTCCATGGGTGCTGCTTATTAACTTCATGATTGAGACCCTGCTAGATATTGACATCTTTTTCCAGGCATTACTGGTGTTTCTCTGCTCACTGTCAGTTTCCCATTACAGCCAGCTTGAATTTATTTGAATGCTATGTTTTCAAAAAACTCCATCTTGGCATTTTACCTTCAAAGTTTTGATATTTTGATCCTAATTGGAAGCTTTTGCACTAACAGGCAATAGCAGGATGAACTCGAGTGGATGGTCAAAAGTCAACTCCAGCAATGGAGGGAATGTGGGATGCTGCTCAGATGCCTTTTAACTTCTGGTTCAGAAATGGATCTGAAGGTAATAGAAAGCCATGTTTATCTATGCAAAAGGGGCGGCTTGGCACCTGTGGGCCAAGTGGCTGGTGGAGAATGGTAGTCTGTCGGTCTGCCTCCTCCCCCATGGAGGGGAGGGCATTTATTTCGGAGGAGACTTGGAGACAGACGGTAAATAATGCATAAGTCAGTATGTCTTCAAATTTTCACCCTTTCTTGCTTCCTGGCCATTTCTTTTCTTTACAGAAGTTACTGGGAGCACACATCATGTCTCATTCACTGTCTCCAGTACCTGAGTCCAAAAGATGTACCCAAGGAACTAGTATCCCATTTCTTGACTCCACATGTTGGAGAAGAACTTCAGGGTGCTCGGTTTAACCCCCTCCCTACTACTGCTCCCCTACCCCTGTACAAGCTCTTTAGAGTTTGCTACAATATCATTTAAAACTTTTTTTCTTTCCCAGGGCCAGCAAGCTTCCTCAGGGGTGTCTGCGGAATCTCTCTGGAAACCCGACCCCATCAACTGTGCTGTGAAGCAAGAGGCAACCCAGGACTTCAGGCTTTTCCTTCTCCTGAGCAAGTTTCTGTTCTGGCCAACTCAGACACTGCGCATGGAGGCTGCCAGGGCTCAGGCCTCAGTACTCATCAGGACTCTTTACCATTTGTCAATGGTGCAGGCTGCAGGGGGCCTGCTGACTGGCAGTGCCAGAAAGGTCTCTGCTCTTTCTTGGCCTATGCAAAGTCAATTCTTTTGTGTGTGGTGATTTATTCATTGAAATACAGGTAAAGACATTTGACAATGTGACAGAGGGAATTAATGTGCTAATTGGAAGTATGCACTATCCTAAGATGTTCCTATGGTGACTTTGAACCTTTAGTCTAAATGGGTCCTTGTGGGTCCTGTAGTTTTCTATTGGGACGCGATTTGTGGAGAAGGTGGCATCACACAACCTGAAGTTCGCTCACCTTAGGTCAAATTCCACATTTCTTTGGGAAGAGACCCTAATGTGTCTACCTTTTACTCAGTACATTGTCATTCATACCCTTTTGACTTGTCCCTGCCATTGGTTAACTTACTTTTAATCCTTGGAATATGAGAGTCATTTTTATTTTCCACCAAATATAAAATTGAGGCCTGAGATCCATGGAAAAACGTTATCCCAACCCATGTTTGTTAACCAAATATTGTGATGATCACCAAGGATGTCTTATTTCTTAGTCCAAAATCCCTTGTGAAACTTGAGGTAACTGTGATGCTTCCCGCCTGTTGCACATGCACGTGTTGTGCCCTCTGCCTCTGCAATGTCACCGCCATCTTTGGTCTTCTTGTTTTTTGTGAGTGGGGAATCCTTGGGTGAAGACCGAAATGCATGCCTTGGTGGATAGGTACACTTAGTAATAGCATGGAAGCAGCATTCTCAAGGTAGAGGATGCCAAAAGGGCATCTCCATAATTGCTGGCAGTCTCACGGTTCCAAGCCTTCAGTGAAAGAGAAGGTGGACTTCCTCAGAATTTAAGTTGATACCTGGTTTCCCTGGACCTTTCCCAGGAGTTCATTCCTAGGCCAGCCTTGTCACTTAGTTTTTTCTGGTGTGTAGTCATTGAATATTTACTCACTAGTGATAATGGTAATGTGCTGTAAATTCTTGGTGTGCAGTATTTCACATCACACTCCAATTTGCCTTAAAGTGCTTTTTCATGCATGTTTCTTATATGAGTGCTAGGAAGAGAGTGGATTATATTGGCCACTACAAGGCAAGGCCTTTGACTGAAACTCTGTAGATTATTTAAGTAGAGGGAGACAATTTATTTTGCTACTATTTGATGAAATGGTACAACATACATAAGGGCTGATGTGCTCACTTTTCATCTGGTTGTGAAATGACTTTTCAGATTATACACTGGCTATATAGACATGTATAAAGTTGAGAGATTTCAGGAGAATATAATGAAATTTAATCCACTGAAATCCCTATTTGTAGACTTCTAATCACTGTGACCATTTTGTATGATTTGCAGTGAGGCTTTTCCCTGACAGTACCTATTTTGTAGGTTCTGACCCTTGTCATGGCTGTTTATGAAGTAAATTTCTGATTCCCCAGCAAGAAATTTGAAAAAAGCCTTTGATACTGTTTGTTACTTTAGAGGCACAATGTTAGCCCTCAGAATTGAAGGCCTGGATCTCCCACCTTAAATACCAACACTTGTCTTCCTGGTGCCTAAGTGTCTATGCTTGAACTAAGGCACAGACACAGGTATAGGCATTAGGCATGGAGAACAATGCAACTGCCTGTACTTCTTGTAAGACTGGTTCCCTGTTTGGCATGTCCAGTCATGTAACTGAGACAGCACTGGTCGTTTTGAGCAGGACCTTGGGCTACTGGAAATGATGGTGATGGTTGTGACAATGATGTTGACGGTAGTGGTGATGATGCTAAAAAAAATCACTGGGGCTATGACTGATGGAAAGGTCACTAGAACCAAGCGCTCTTCTCAGTTCATTGGGTTCTCACCTCATCCTCTAAAAACCATGAGTTAAATGTATTATTATTCCTATTTTACAGAGTACATTAATGATTACAGAACCTTGCCATGGTAACAAAGGCAGGATCCTTTAGGAGGGGGAATAAGATCCAGCTTCAGATGGTTCTGAATCCGTGGTATTAATCACATGCTGTGAGAACTTTTAACAGTGCTTTTGTTGCTTGAAAAAGTAATAGTTACCCCACCCTCTGTCTCCTGTTCATTCTGGTCCATGTGGATATCCAGAGGTCACACTGGGTGTTTTTGTAGCAATAGACATACATGCTGATGACAATGGTCCTCAAAAGCCAGGGCAATACACCTTCAACTAATAAATTTCATGGCTGGATCCCCAGCCACTTTGATGATCTGTTCTTTGATGGGAAGAATTATAGGGGTTCGAGGGTGAGACAGAGGTAGAGACTTCTGTGATCAGGAAAGATGGAATGACACATTGCGTATGGTTGCTCCGTCGGGGGCCTATTGACTCTAGGTGGGAAAGGGCTGGGAACAGTGGCACTGGGCAGAGCTGCTGGGAGAGGTGGTGGCTGAGGGACTCTGGCGGGGATGTTCTCACAGGCTTTATGTGTTTAAGGGAGTGTCTCCAGCCCCTTCCCCATGCCTGGCACTGCACCAGAGGGTATTGTTGAGTGTGACTTGGGAAAGTCTGGCTCTTGGGCAAAGATGAGACTATTATGGGGGCAGAACTTGGCTGTCCATTATCAATGAGAATTCTGAACTTCGCTGTTAGTGAAAGCTTAGCAATTTCTGGCTCATTAGGTGCACTTCCTTAGCCTATGACAAATGACTTGGAGGAACGTGTTATTATATGGTATCGTCGTAGAGTAATCCGGGGGACTCTTCTGAGAGGCACCTGTGGTTGTTTTGGGGGACATTTCTCCCTTGGATGGTCTCACCACTGAGTCTTTCATGCTGATAGTGAGCTGTGTTCACCAGCAGAGACCGATGAAAGTGGACTGCTTTTCACTGCCTTAGCCTATGTCAAATGGCTGGAGGAAATGTGACACTTCCCCTATTATATTGTAGCCCCATAGGGTAATCTGGGGGAGTCTCCTTAGAGACCCCTGTGATTGTTTCTGGGGGACATTTCTCTCTTGGATGGTCTCACCACTGAGTCTTTCATGCTGATAGTGAGCTGTGTTCACCAGCAGAGACCGATGAAAGTGGACTGCTTTTCACTGCCTTAGCCTATGTCAAATGGCTTGAGGAAATTTGACCCTTCACCTATTGTATTGTAGCCTCATAGGGTAATCTGGGGGAGTCTTCTTAGAGGCACCTGTGGTTGTTTGTGGGTGATCCTGTTCTTTTGGATGACCTCACCACTGAGTCTTTCTCGCTAATACTGGGCTGTGTTCACTAGCAGACACTTATGAAAGTGAACTGCTATTGCTGATAGTTCCTCAGAATTTACTTGACCTCCTTCCTCCTTCCGTGTTGGGTGGCTCCAAAGCCTTGTGTAAATTCCTACAGGAACGAGACAGCTTCACCAGCAGTATCTGTAGCAAGTAGAATTTTGAATCCAGTCTCCACTGGACACAGGTGATGGCCAGTGGTCAGACTGTGTCCTCCTACACTAATGTGCTGAACAGAAGGGGTTGCACTATGCACCCCAAGGGTGGCCCAAGGGTCATGAGCACTCCTGTTTCAGAGAGTGGGAATGAAGTTGGCATTTTGGCCAAGCATTTCTCTATTAGCTTCCTACACTCTTCCGTTGATCATACTCTGCATGTTGGTGGGAAGGAAAAGTCACATGGGTTCCGCCACTGACCAGTATATGAAGCTGGTGACGTTGGGATCCTCATGCAATTCTCTCCTTGAGCCTGGTGTCCAGGAACCTTCCGAGTTATGTTAGGTGTCCAGAATGGCAGTTCAACCTGTCTTATTGGTCATGCTGAAAGGGGCACATCCCTGTCAGCTGAAGCTCTAACGTTTCCCGTCTACTGATGTAAACTGTCACTACTTTGTGGTCTAACCCATAAGTCACTTTTCTTCTCAGAGGGGTGTTTACATAGGCACAAGAAGTTGCCTGAACCCTCAAGACTGTCCTAGACAGCTCAGTGAGGGATTCATGCATCTTGTGTAGTACTACAGCCACTGACACTGTTAAAGGACAGGAGGGAGTTGCAATGTGAGGAGGGGAGGGCTCCGTGGTGTCCCTATTTCAGGGTATTCCAGGGTCCTAGAAGGAATGTCAGGAGTCTCCTGTGCATGAGGAGAGTATAGGGAGTTTGGAGGACATGGGAGTTGGGGGTGAATATCGTGATGGGCAATAGCGTTCAAGGAGGCACCTGCCTCCTGTGCCCCTTCCCCTCCCTTGCAGCACGTGTGGGTCGGCATAGCTGGGGAACCAAAGACAAAAATGTACCTTGATGGAGGTGATGGGTAAAATATTTGCCTTGGGAAGTTGATACATTTATGATGGGGGCAGGTCCTTGTTTTCCCTTTCCCAGTCATTGGGGGTTTGGGTGTTGTTGACATCTTGACTGTGTCCCCTCCTCTGTGCACTTCTTTGGACCTGTGAAAAACGGCCACAGACGTAGGTGGGGCTTCACTCTCTTATATTGTTGCATAGTGCAACAGTGGGAGGGAGTACTGGGCAGGATGTGCTGTTGCTTTTGCTGGTACTTCTGTATCCTTCCTGGCACACTGTATTCTCTCATCTCCTTTGTATTCCAGGGTTTTCTCCTGTAACTATAGGGAGCCTTAGGTGCTGCCTGTGCTGTGCATTTGCCTATTTTGCAGTCCCACCCTGATGAGTTTCTGGGTTCAGCTGCTTAAGGTGTCCCCTGTGTACCGAGCTCTCACGCAGTCCAAATATGTTACTGTCAGGTCCTCGTCCATGCCTTATTGTAAAAGTGGCAGAGGCATATGTAGTTTTTCAAAATGTTTATGACATTTTAGAGAGGTACATGGAGAACTTGACAATTGCCAGTTTTATAAGGGAAATGCTCTAAGAAAAGTGAAAGGTTAGGTTTCTTTTCTCAACAGGGAGGTGTAAACTTTCATTTCCCTTTTTACTTTGTCACTGGGTCAGGCACCATGACTTATTGTGTACTATGTCTCATTAATATCTTCTTTCTTGGCAGAGAATGTATTTTACAGACCACCTGTTAAATTATGCTGACTAATTCTGGTTTCTTTGCCTAAGAAATGTGTTTGCTGATTTGGTCTTGGATTTTGTAAGGTCCTTGTGTTCTTACAATAAAATGTGTTCTTGGAGAAACTCCCACGTGTATGTTATATTATTCAAAAGAAGTAATCATGATCAATGAATCATGCGTCTTCCATGTGCTACCCACCATGTACAGGGTGAAATATATGAGCTCTATACTCTTTGACCTTGATGTGAGGGGGTGTGTGGCAAGGTTTAGGGTTTCCAGGCCAAGACTTAAGTTCTCCCATTGTTAAGGTAAGAAAGGTAGTAAGTGATCTGATACCTCCTTATACAAGGTGATCTTAAGAACACAAATCTGTATTTGGATATTGTGTGGGTGACAGGGGCATCTCTTTATCACAATAAGGGTGAGGCAGAAGTAGAGTGAGCAGTAAGGTTCTGCAGGACGCAGTTCAGAAGTCATGAGGACAAAAACTGGAAGAGTGAGTAGGCAGTTCATTCCCGCTCCTGCCTGCCTAAAATCTTGGTTCTCCAGTCTTAGAAATGTGTCTTTGTATCACACAACCTGCCTTTGAATGGAGCAAGGTAAAAGGGGCAGATGCTTCTCAGCATCATCTGTTCCTTGAAATTATCAGTACTCTTCTGAATGTGTCAAATTTCCAATTAATTATCATTATGTATCCTTTTGTTGAGCTGAGCAATGTGTCAGCATTTTATGAATTAGCACTTCCAGTATGTAGTGAGGATCAGGGGCTCCACTCCCAGAGAATTTCCAGATATGTTTTATCCTCCTTAGGCAGCTTAGGCCTTGTGGTTATACGTGTCCCCTACAGGGAAGCACACGAAGACCGTGGTAGCCCGTCCTGCCTGTGCATGTGCCACACTGAGTGGTTGGGCATGTGCCTCTCCCTGGGTTGTCATAGAGACTTTGGGCTATGGCTGTTAACAACTCTAGTGGTGTCAGTCTACAGAGCTGAAAAGTCTCATGTCCCACCTCAGAATTCAAGGAACCTCCTCACCAATTCCCAGGGAGCAGCTGGAACTTTATTTTTATCCCCACTATTATTGGCTTCTGAAGTCATGGGTTGCCAATTAGACTGTTAGCTACTCCCACCCAACTATTCATGTTTTCAGCAAGGTGGAAAATAGAGACAACTGGTGAGACTTGGGTTAAGAGAGAGGTGGGAATGTTCACTTGTATTCACTCCAGATCAGCAAGTATCAATGGGTAAGTCGTGTGTTCTCCAGAAGAAGAAGGACTTTTGGAACTGGGAAGTCCCAAGGTGTGTGGGTAATTGCCCTCCATTTCTTGAGTTCTTCATACGTGCCAGGCTATATATTCCCCCTACATATCTATTGCCCTGGCGGGTAAATAATGGAAATGAATGAGAACTTCCTTCAGACACTGGACACCCTGGCACTCAGCACAGCATTCCTGGTTCCCATTCTAAGTGAGTGTATACACTTAGCCGTGATGGACATGATGTTTGGTCAAGCACAGCGCTCCCCCATTCCAGTGGAGGGTGAGGCTGTGTGATTGCTCCCAGGAAATGGCCTCTCCACTCGACTTAGGGTTTCTCTTCTCCCCTTCCACCACTCCCTTTTTCTTAAATGTGGTCCCAAGATAGATGGGAGCTAGTGTGTGGGTTGCAGCCAGTTGCAAGGAGGGACTGCTAAGTGTCCCACCCCTTCAGTGTTCCTTTCTCCACCCTTTTTATGGTTGTCATCCCCTCCCCCAGAATGTCAGGGACTTCAATGCATTGAGTGCCCTCTCTGACAAGCATTTGCGTGGTAAAATCTCAGCACATTGATAGTTGACACTCCAGGCACTGTGGGAGGGATTTTGGCCAGGGCCCGAGTTCAGAGTGAGGGCATGCTCAGGGTGGGGGAAAGCTGTGCGTGTCCAAGAAGTATCCAGGGTAGAAGTGTCCTCATGGCAGAAGGAGTGGAGACAGCTGATCCCGTGTAGCTGGTTCGGCCCTGCTGTCCTCCCTACCTTCCTGCCCCTCTACCCTTCTGTCTGTGTCTCTCTCTGCAGATCTAGGTGTCTACCTGTCCATCTGTCTGTTTCCCAGGGACACAGGAGCTCGCTTGGCACAGTCTGGGCCAGGTCTCTGGCCACAGAGGTGGTCCAGGAGAGCTGTGGAGTCTGGTCTCTAGTGAGGGTTCTGAGTTTCTCTACAGATTCTAGTAGGCGATTTGAGTCAGCCCTGGACCACCATTGCAGTTACCAGTGAGAATCAACCATTGGTGCCTGTTCCATGTCCCAGGGGAGTGGACCTGGTCTATTGAGCCCGGGTCTTAGAGTAGAGGACCTGATCGGCCATATGCCCCATGCCAGCCTTCTGGTTCTAGGATGCTGGCCCCTTGTCATGAGGGGAAAAAGGGGCAGTGCAATTCTGAGAATACCAAGAGTTAAACATACCTTACAGGTTAATGGCACAGTCCCCTAAATGAGACTGCCTACATTTCACACACGTTCCATAAATTCGAGGGTCCCTGGGCCACATCATTGCTGCTGACCAACTGATACATGGGCCAGAGTCCTGATGAGGTAACACAATGAAAAGTCACAGATAACCATTGAATATTTAATAGCATTTTCATTCAAACATTATTCAAATACCTACAAATGAAAGACATTAAAGCATTATTTTTCCTGAGGAGATTCACAGTGAATTGAAAAACCTAATACTAGAATACAGAAAAAGCCATTTTCATACGATTCATGCAAGGTGAGGAGTGGGAATAATTTTATAAAGGAAGTTTTATAAATATAAATGAAGAATGTGAATATCAGTTGATGAAGTACTTCCATTCACAACTTTCAGCAAATGATTTAGGCCATAAATAAATAAATGCCACTTCTCTATTTTTAGAGAAATATAAATTACAACATTCATGATTCTCTGGTAGATGTTAAAATTTAAGGAAAGGTCTTAAGTCCCCATTTGGAGAAGGTCATGAGAAAATGGACATACTCTCAGAATTTTAAATGCTATTTAAAAATTTGTCAGAGGTTTCTCATGCACAATTTGACTACAACTGTCACAACCTTATAAATGTGTAATACGTTGTGTCTGAGAGGATCCATTGCCAGCACATTGGACTCTAGATGGAAACCTTTGGGCCGCCTATGCCGAGCATCTTAGGCATTCATTCCACAGTGCAGGAAGGGTAGGGATGGGTCCATGTCCCCTCATGGATCTGTCTTCTTTAGGAGCCCATCAGTCAGAGCAGCTGGCATGACAGATTAGACACGATGACAGGAGAGGAAGCCAGAGGGAGTTCTGAGGACCACAGTGTGTCAAGGAGGCCAACAATGCTAAGGAGATCAGGGATGTAAGGAGGAAGGGGAATGAAGCCATATGGGTCAGAGGGAAGGCTCTGGATGAGGCCATGGAATCAGAGGTCTGTTAGTGTGGATCAGCCCCATGGCACTTGATGAATCATCCAGCCAGGTCTGGATTGCTAGACTATAGACTACCGCTATACTGGGGACTGTTGTTTTTCAGACCAATAGGTAAGACGTGCATCTCTGAGCTAACAGGTAAATGAAGCCCAGAGATGTCTTTAGGTTTAGGAGGGACAGATGTGAGAGCCAGAGAGATGATAGCACTAGCACCAGGATGCTGCAATAATTCTGGCATTGCAGACACACACACAAAAAAAAACACCCACACACATGCACACACACAGACACCCACATGCTGGGTCTTAGCGTGTGTTCCCCTGGCTCTTCCTTTATGGCTACCTACTTTCTGTCACCTTGTGCCACACCCTCTGAATGTCATCCTTCCTTTGGGTTCTGGCTGGCACTCCTTGCAGCCCATTCTCTGCCCCAGGAGATCTCACCCACTGCAGTGACTCCCAAGTTGCATCTTGTGCAAGGACATCCAGGCCTTTAGGTCCTCCTTCTTCCCTCAAGTCCCAAGTGTATTTGAACTCAGCTGTTGCACATCTTCCCTTTGAAATCTTGTGGGATCCTCTAGTGTGTTGCAACATGAATCCATTATCGTTCCTCTCCTCTCCCCGAAACAGTTCATTCCCTCAGGCTCTTCTGTCAGTTGGTGGGACCAGGCAGTACATCCATCCAGGCAGCAGCACCAGCAAACATGTAGTCGCCCCTGACGCTTTCTCCATCATCACGTCACGTACGCGCCACTGTGCATTTGCTCTATCCCATGTCCCAATTGGTTCTCCATGGTTTTCATTTAATCTTCACTGCGTTTAGGAAGTCCAGGGTTCATTACTTCACAGCTGAGCTCCAACAACCTCTTTGCACCTAATGGTCTCTCTTTTTCCCTTTTCATTTTGTTTCAATACATTCTGTTCACTGACACTCAAGTGATAGGTTTCAAATGAAAATTGGATGTTTTTATTCATACTTTCAACTCTCAGAGACTCTTTAAGTCGACAGCAACTTTGCTCTTCGTAGCCCAGTTACATCTCTCACTATCTTGTCCAGGCAGGCCAGCGTGTGCATTCCTCCCGGAGTAGCTGTGTTCTTTCACCCTCCAGCTCCTGTGCACATGCTCCCCTCTGATCCTATAAAGCATCTCCCTTTGTCCACATCTACCCCATGGACTTCCCTGTAAGGCACATGTCAGCCTCGCGCATCATTTCCTGACAGCCTGGGCAGAGGTAGTGAACCCAGGCTAAGGAGCTCTTGCCAATTCCTCCATCGGAGCTCCACTCACATTCTGCCTCATCTCCTGGAACTGGTCAGTGCACAAGAGGGTTTGTGAGTTTTTTATGGGGAAGTATGTCTGGTGATCACCCAGTAAAAGGTTTTATTTCAGGGTCTCCATGTGTCAATTTTTTATCCTGATTACATGTCCTGCTGTATGCAGAGTGTATTGCACCTGAGAGGAATAATCCACTATGCTGGCTGACAAAAAACAGGGAACAAATTTAACACGTAGAGATGAAACATGGACATGAAGAGTTACAGCAAGAGTCGATGTATTAATTACGATAGTGAATCTAGCAGAGATGTAGAGAAACATTTCTGAAAACACAATTGGAGAACTGGAAAATGTGTTATAAGATTCAGACTATGTGAATGGTCAGTGGACAATAGATTAG